GACACACACACACACACACACACACACACACACACACACCCTCTCCATTCACAATCCTCAAACAGGAGTCTTTGGTAGACTCAGAGAATACAACTGTTTTGCCATTTCAGAGTGAAAAGGTTACATTGTCTTCTCTCCCTCCCAAAGTCTCACTTTATAACTGACATTGTTAAAAACCATTTCTGCAAAACAAAAACAAAAAAACAAAAACCATTTCTGCAATTCCTTGCCAAAAGGAATCAAACAGATCCCTTCAACACGTATATACAGTTCTATCATAAGGCAATGCAGAGAACATTGACTTGATTTCAAGAACAAAACATTACTATAAACTCCAAACAGTGTCACCCATATTGAGACTGCTGGGAAGTAGCTCGGACTAAATTTCTTACAGAATTACAAGTTCTGGGATTACTGGACTGGAGCCACCAGTGTGCTGGTTAACTGCCATTTTTACAAGCTATTCCAGAGTCCTTTCACACCTAAACTTACCCCTGCATTCTGGGGTACATAGGGTCTGTATTAGATCATGGTGGAAAGATGCTTTTGGGTTGTGTCTCCAGAGTAGGTTGGACTTCTGCCAACCTTCCTTCATCTGTTCTTCTAGTCCATAAGAAATGGGGAAGGTGGGCCATTTCATTCTTATTTGGAATTATGCCAGTGTGGTGAGATTATCGTAGGTTAGGCTGAAACTTAGGAAGAAACTGTTTATGATAACAAAGGCACAGAAAAATTGACATGATCATTCAGTCATACCTCTCATCATCTATTTATTGGTATGGTTGTAGTAGGAGAATTTGTTAAGTGAGGAAGTGAAGTGGGAACAGGAACAAGGAAGGTGACCCAGGAAGACTTGCAGGAGTAGAGAAGCAGGAAAGAGCTGAGCCTGGTAGTGTTTTAGAGATGGGATGTTGGAGACCACACACGAGGCCTGTTTCCTAATAAAGGTCAAGGTACAAATGAGGCAGGGAGGACCAGGAAGTGAGAGAGCAAGGTGGCACCTGGGGAAGCCAGACACTGCCAGTGTGGGTTCTTACATCTAAGCTGAGGCATCTAGTTGCTTTCAGCAACCTAGAGGACTTATCCTGTAGCAAAAGAACACAGAAACAATTCCCAACCAGATACTATTTTTTTATTTCCAAGCATCTTGAAATCTTTAAGTGAACTTCACAAGTTTGCAAGTGTTCTGATGGTTTAAAAAAAAAACAAGTAGTTGTTGACAAAGGCATTGAAAAACGAAGAATTTAAATTACATGATTCCATTTAAAATCCTCATGTTTACTCCATCAGGCAGGATTGAAGGATTAGAACCCAGGGGTGGTGACTCTGGGCATTTTACAAAGTGCTTCTACCTCCTTAGAAGCCGCAGTCTTTCCAGCGGCTCTCCTATGTACCTTTTATCAAAATGATCCGAGTTCCAAATTTCTCAGATAAAACTGCATCTATGCGACCAGCAGCCATTCCAAAGTTGACTGGCATGTGTTCTCCAATTTCAATTCCAAAGACACAGCAGAGAATAACATTTTTCCTTATTAAAGGCACCCAAGTGACTCCATTTTAAGTTGCACCCTTCCTGCTGGAGAATGAGTTGGATCTCACCCTTCTGCAGTTTCCTATAAAATTTCCTATTTGATAAAATGCATACATATTATATGACCTATGTTCTGATGATTTTTCTTTATCAGCATGATTGAATTTGTACTGTCAGAGCACTCTGGTGATTACATTTAAGTAAAACTGAAATCTGCTACTTTATGAGTCAGTGAAATGTCCACCAAATGGTTTAAAACACTGATGTACATGTACTCTAAAACTTACTAAATAAATAATGGGCCAAAAGATGCTGGTATTTTTTCTCAAAAGTTTCAAGAAATGTTGGTTGCCAGATTAAACTCAGACCTAACATGGGCACGTGAACATGTACACACATCTACACATATGAAATTTTCAACTCAATAATGATTGAGCCCAAAATGAAATTGAATTTATGACCTAGATTCCCTTAGGTCCTGCCCAGCATCTGCTTATGCATCAAGTTTTGTTCATTCCATCTTCCAATCTAACAAGGACTGGGAGCCTAATGCGCCATATGTGAGCTATGATAAATATACGGTAAATATTCATTTTCCACCACACATAATATAACTTCATTAATTCAACAGTGCCTGTTAGTCATTTAACACAGATTCTTTAAAAGAGTTCATCAGTGCATGTTGTGGTTCAAGGCAAATGAAAAGTCACAAGTTCTTGCATTCCCTATCAGATGTGTAAAGCAAATAACACATAAAACTAAAAGGTGTAGCATTTTGTTGACTATATATCTTTTCTCTTTAATGTTAACCTGTTGCAGTATAGTTGTTGGAAACATGCATTTGCTACTAATTCAAAGCACCCTGAGCACTCCTAATTCCCTTAACACTAAATTTTCTAGAATTCCAGATTCAGAATGGCCTCCGGGAAGAATAGTTTATCTTTAAATGATGCATTTACCCTATATGATCCAAAGATCAGTGCAGAATTTACTAATTATTAGCTGATAATTAATATAGTCAAAAATTTTCATGCATCACTCAGTAAGAGCACAAGTAATTTGCATGTGTTTACGTTCACTTCCTATTCAAAGAATGTATTTAGAGTCTCCACCCATCACAGGTCTCCAGTGAGAATTAAAAAGGGTTACAAGCCCATGCTTGACAAATGATTCAAAGATGTGCTAAAATCACTATGATTTTATTGATTTTACCTCAAGAGCTAAAATGGCTACTTGATTAGGAAGAAGTGATTAACCAAAGGAAAGACATTTTGCAGGGCTATTACAGAGGTAATCCTGAGTCTTTGGAGGAGTGAATGAGAATGACCTTCCACCTGAAGAGTTCCTGACTTGAGGTGAGAACTCTCCCTGAATATTCCTATCCTCTCAGCTCCTGCCTTGGAGGGCTTTACTTGATAATAGCCAAGTGAAGAGGCTGGGGTGCAAAGTTCCATATGCCTTAGCCCAAACTGTTTATTCAACTGGAAAGATGATTTTGCATCCACTGTTACACACAGAAAAATCAGAAATAATCATGGGAAGAAAAGCAAACTCTTAGAAGGAACATTTAACATTCACCAAAGTGAAAGACTGGCGTGGTTGAAACCTCAGTTGTAAAACCATTGCCGATAGGCCTGATCCAGTGCCAATTATTTATCCTTTAACCTAGACATTTGAAATAGGTGGAGACCAAACTAGAAAATGTCTTGAAAAGTTGCTGTTCATATTCTATCCCTAAGATTCCTGAATTTCAAATTTAAAGAGTATGACACCTAATCAACTGCAATAGAGTTTGGCGTTCTGGCTTGGTTCTTGGATGAATTGCCAATTCTTAAATCATGAATCTGGTTTGGTAAGCAACCCTCCCAACTTTTCTAGCTAATGGAGACATCACTGACATCAATTACAAGTCACTGGAAGCTTTCAGGTTGAAACATGGTGCAGCAGCTCTTTCCATTAAATTGAACTTCCTCAGCAGAGATCTTCCCATTGAGACACAAGTTTCACCTTAAGGCACTAATAATAAGGGGTATGGAAACAGCTGAGAATAAGTCAGATCTTTCCAGAAATAGAAGACATTTCAAAAACACAAGTCAGTCACCTATCTGGCCTACTTCGACATCTACAGAGGATAGAGAATTAAATTTTCACGGATAGCTGATTCAGCTCTTTACTCTTCTCTCAAACCGATTTACATGTCTCAGATTTATTTTTCCTCAAGAGGCAGTGGAGAAAGGTAGCAAGGAATTGGAAAACACAAACAAGTATGCAAATCTAATTTGTAGCCTAGTCTCATGATTAATTCCATGAGGACAGCATGGAGTGCTCAGACCTAAGGTTTTTAAGTACTTTAAAATATTACGAAGACCACATACCCAATGGTTAGAATTGGGACAAGGTGCTCTTTTCTATTGTTCTGAGGGAAAAAAATCGTAATTTTTTAAGACCATGTAAATAGAATTTGTTAATAGCAAATAGTAAATTTTGGAGGAAAACATCTACTCCGTGAAACCTCAGTTTCAGCAGGATTCTCCTACACCTTCCAATGGATTCAATTTTGCCACAAGACAGAACTAAGTAAACACAGGGCTCAAGACAGGTCAGGAGACAAATGCCAGTAAATGAGTGACTGTGGAGGTAGGCATAGTGAGACAGGATTTACCTAAAGGAAAACCACTCCCTGCGTGTGTGCGTGCACACACACACACACACACACACACCTGTGCACTCATAGTGATTTAAAAAGCATGGGCGTGGGAAGGCTCAATACTGTTCGACTCGAGCTCAGATATCTCATCTGTTAGCATTTCTACATAGGAAAGGGTCTGACACAGGTTACACACCCACAAACACTCATTTGTGAGAGGCCAGCCTGGCTCACAAAGACTCCGAAACAGACCCAGAGACTCCTTTGTAGAGCTGCTGGTTTTACAGGAATGATTAGTATCTGCAGGATTACACTTCCTCTTGATTTGCAGGATTTTTATCTTGCATTTCCTTCCATAAATATTCCCTTTGCAAGAGCATTAAATCAAGTCCTGAAGGGACTAATCTTGAGTCCTCAATGGGTAAGACTCAGAACAGGAACTGCAGGAAAACAAAAATTGCAGCAACATGGCCCCTTTGGGGTTGGGATGAAGTATTTCTGGATTTAAACAGTCTTGGGGCAAAAAAAGAGAGCAGAGTTCTGGGCGGAGGTGGAGATGGAAATGTGGGCAAGTCCTGAAATCAATATAAACAAAAGAAATGAGCATAACTTAAAGGGGTTTCAACTAAGTATCACTGCAACTGGGTTTGTTGTCCGCAGAAATTCTGCTCTGATAGGTGGAACTGAAAGATAATAATTGGTGTATCTCTTCTGAGACAGGCTCAGCTGGGAGTGATGTGGTAGGTACTGGCGGGGCGGGGGTGGTGGTGGTAAAGACAAAGGCCTGAAGGCTCAGGTATCGCTCCTAAGGTTTCTGCTTGCCTGATTTTGAAGGAAAGGGTGCTAGAGCAAACGGATCCATGGCTGGCAGCTCCGTAGTCCTGGAGGAAAGGGATGTGATGGAAACAGATCCAGCTATTGACTGTTTGTTGGTCTGTGAAACAATTTTGTAGGCAGCGATGGGCTGGGCTTCTGGACTTGACTCATCTTCTGGGCTATAGTGACGGGAATATTTGGATAAAGACTGGGGGCGGAATGGTTTGCCCACCACGGGGCCTGAGACAGCTTCTTTCTGGGGCTGAGGTCCTTTGTTTCTGTCATTAGGATGGCCCCCAGATTCCAGGGAGGATCCCCTGGGAGGGATGCTGTCAGGATGGTCTGCTGCTTGTGCGGAATGGGAGGGGGGGTTAGACTGCGGGACGAAAGCAGCCATGGAGTACTGAGCTCGGACGGGGGCATACACTGCTCTCTCAAGGCCTGGGAGCAGAGGGACCTCATCAGTCTCACTGAGGAGACTGGCCAGCCCAGGCAACTCCTGGGAGGCGCTCTGGGCAACTGGTAACTCCTCCAAGCTCTTCTTCTTGGTAAAAGGAGCTCTCAAGAACACGTCCGCCTCCTCTGGCTGGGAAGGAGCCACACTGCCCTTGGAGGCAAATGGGGCTTTGGAGAAAATATCCATGTCATCAGCTGGAACCCTTGAGCTCCTGAAGGGGGCTGTGGCAAAAACATCCGGCTCCCCGAGACCGTCCATGGTTGGTTGTGGGAGGGCTCGGAACTGGTTCTTTCTGCCACCCTGGCCTGCCTTTGCTTGCTCAGTAGAGACCTCTGGCTGAGTGAACGGAATAGCTCCTCCCAGCTTCCCCTGTGGAGGCCTGCAGCTCTCGTCCTCTTCTTCAGACTCCAGGAGGAGTGGTCGAGACCCACTGCAGTCCAGCATGTCCCCCTCGAGATCAGTCCCTTCCTCTTCACTGCTGTGGAATGAACTGTTGCTTGAAGGGCCATCTCGGGCCAAGTAGTCAGATTCTAAATTGTTCTGCGTTTTCGTGCCAGGTACTCTTGAGGGGTCTGGATACAGGGGAAGGCCTTTAACACCGGCTGAATCTTTAAAGTGCTCTACAGTTATTACAGGACAGGGATTGGGCTCTCTCTGGAGACCTAGAAAAGCAAAAAATGCAGAATTAATGCATAGATCAGTTCAACTCTCCTTGGAACATTTAAAATGGTCAACCCGCGGCGGAAACATTGTGGGGCCAAATAATAAAGGTTGAAATGGAAAAGGAAAAACAGAAAAATAAAAGTCAGGCAAGGAAACGGCACACAAACTGGAACACAAGCAGTCACTGTCACACATTTTGGAACATGACAGGCACAGTGTACAGGAAAGGAGATGGCAATGTCAGGCACACAGACACTCAGCATAACCACACAACGCTCCGACTCGCGGGGCCAGGCACTGTTTCCTGCTCTACCTGGCACTGGCTCAGGGTGGGATGGAAACAAACCCAGTCGCTCATCTCCACATACACCGTGGCAATTCTGGATTATGTAGAAAACTGTCTGGGGACAAATGCAATTCAGTAGCGGACGTGTGGTCATCTGCTCCACACTGCCTGTATCTGAGGACAGATTCTCCATCCCAAACCCCCCTGCCCTGCCCCCCGGAAGAGCAGCAGAGCACAGCTGCTTGATAAATGCAAGATTTTCATCATGAGCACTACTCAAAGAGCACAAAAGTGCCCCAAATGCCAATACTGAAGGCGCTTTCTAAGGGGAGGAGACATAGTCAAAATCATATTAAATAAATCTCCTTCAGCTGGAGTCGCTGTGGAATTTTGTTTTCAATCTTCTACGCTAGCAAAGATCTCCTCTGCTTAAATGAATCTATCATGAAGTTCTTTAAGCAGAAGGAGTAAAACACATGGGTAATTGCAGAAATATTTGCGAACTCTAATATACTAGTCTACTTCTAGCTAGATAGACGTGCCTCAGGGTGCTCTGGCTTTTAAAATCAAATAGACAATTATCAGAATGCAAGAGAGCTTACCTTCCAAGAAATATTAGCAGGTTAGAAGTATGTCATTGGGCACATGTTAGCAAGAGGGCAGGAAAAAGGCATATGTAACTAAGTAAGAAGAATCCAGAGAAAGGGCGGTTGGGGGTAAAGAGATCATTTCATCATGGGTTTCCCAACCCACTGGGCATTCGGTACAATGCTTTGGATTCTGTAGATGACTTGGAACCTCTGTACTGAGGTAATTCCATCAACCCCTCCCCACGTTACCCTTTCCTTCCAGGCAAATCATTAGCTAGTAGAAACTTCTGCTAACAATTATCCCCTGCTAGGGTTTCTGCTTGAATTAAGCACACAGAACACATCAGAAGCGGCATCAAAATCAGTTTATTGGGAAACCAGTCACTTAGAGACATTACATTGTAAAGAAATGTAGAGAGAGATTGGAACATTTTAGAAGATACCGTACAAAAATACTATGGTTCTCGGAATTCTAGAACTTTTTAGCAGTGCTTCTTTCTAAACAGCTCTGATCTTAAATACTGTTTTCAGAAACAAAAAAAAAGGTGGGTGTCCCCCTCGTTTTCTGAGTTTGAATGCATTCAGTGAATTTCCAATTAGGAGTCTTTAAGTGAAATTCTGTACTGGTGCCAAACAGCTTTCTGAGTAGTGTTTGAAGAGTATGATTCTGAAGAGTATACATTTTTTCTTTGCGTTGCAGCTTTAGTATGGGCACCCACGTGGTGATATGAAAGCGTTAGCTGATAGGAAGCAAATGGAACATCTTCTCTCTTTGCAGGATATGTGGAGAGACATAATCCTAACCTCTCAGGCAAGTATATTGATATTAGTTCTGTCACTGTGATTCTTAGGTGGTGATTTCTGGGAGGAAATCCAAATGAGAGGGGGCAAAGAGGCTTTCCAAAATAAGATTTGCCAAGCAAAGGGGCATGGAAGCTCCTCTCCCCCAAGACTCCTTGAACCACTTTCTAACATAGCATCAGCTAGACAAAGTTTTCAGTTGCCAAAACCAAGGCACAATTTCTCATCTTCCAAAACTACCCCAAAAGCTGGCGTTCTCAAGCTGGTTCTGTGGGAGAGCAGAGTATCTTTTAGGGGAAAAATGGTAAATTTAGTCAAGTCAATGATCAATTCTGACATCATACCAATCAATAAGGAAAACCAAACACTAGTTTGACTGGAGTTAGTGTTTTGGGGAAATTTAAATTGAATTCTGTCAGATCTGCTTGTGTGCAGAGAACGCCAACAAGCAGCTACCTACAGAACTAGGGGTGCTTTGGATGCCTGCAGTGTTGGATTACACTTTGAGAACTATCAAATACCAGGTAGAGGAGACTATATCCAGAGCTGGACGGGATAGAAGAACATGCTTAACCTATCCAAATTACTTTAAACAGTGGGTTCTTGGTCAACTGGAAGCCTGTCAAATTAGCATATTCTGGGACCTTGATATTACATAATAGGAAAATCATACCTAAAATTTCAAGAACTTTCAAAAACTCACAAGCCCAGTCACAAAAACCCTGTGACATTGACTTTGAAGGGGAAACTTGTTTCCTGTTCTTCAAAACAACGCCAGACATGTTTCTATTTTTCAGCAGGAATCTGCTTTCTAGGGTTGGAAAACTACATTTAAAGGATTTTCCTGAGAAGGCCAGGTCTCTTAACCTCTTCATTCTTTTTCAAGAAGGTGTAGTGTGACTACAGCAGACAGCAAGCACCCTTTGCAGCTCTCCCAAGCCGGGCATTCTGGAGACCATAGAATGCCGGTGGGTTTGGGGAAACACAGACATCCATACGCCCTCAGCACGAGACACAAAGTCGTCAAGAGAAGGAGAGATTCTAAATAACTGTAAGCAGAAGATGGCCATTAAATCAAGTTGGCAGTTAGAGGTCTTTTCTGGAGTGTGAGTATGTATGTTCTTGTAGGGAAAGCATGTGTTTTCAAGGTGAACAATCCTTGTATAGGAAAATGGCCTTGCACTATTAGGAAAACAGTCTGGCTACTAGCAAAGAAGGATCTGGACTAATTTAACCTCATGTCTTGGCCCCATTCCTCTGGCAACCAACAGCATGCATAGCAGACACCCCGTGACCAGAAAGCACAATAAAGCCAACCAGTTGTTCGTGAGGAGTGGAGGCCTTCAATCCAGGACCTGGTCTCATAGGCTACACAAGGGTCTTCCTTATCATGAAGCCTAAAGTAGGGCATTTTGCTCTGGTCCCCTCAAACTGGGTTAGGTCTCTTTTCATTTTGGTTTAGCCCCATTAAATTAAGCAAGAAGGCAAGACGTGCTTCTTTTTCTTGCTCTCATGTAGGACTGTGTGCAAGGTTACAGGTGAGCACACTTTTTGAGACTTCTATGAGGGGTAACTCCATTTTAGTCTATTTTGAGGCTCCAGATTTATGGAGATTTCAGTAAGAGTTCATATGCTTGACAGAGTAGGAGTCCCCAAAACTCTCTGATGACTTGACAACTCTCCTCACTAACTGCCTATTAACTTTCCAAAGCAACCATAAGGGCTGAATGATTTGGGGTAGGTTTACCCTGGGGATTTTATCTGATGAACATAATGAGGGGGTTCATCAGAGTGCATTCAGAAAAATCAGAATCTGAAGACTTAAATTCCAGGCTGGATATTCTTTAGTGCAATACATCATGCACCACCAGAATTTTACTTTCCCCCATACTGTAAACTGAAATAACAGTTACAAGCAGTATCGAAGACATAATTCTTGCCAAAAACTGAAAATGAAGACTTGGAGTCCTGAGAAACCTTCTCATACATTTAGCAAATAGAAAGCAAACTATCCCTTCACAAGAAGGTCAGAAATGCAGCACCAACTGAAATTCACACTCTTGGAGCCAAATCAGGGAATCAAGAGATGTACATCAAATTAATAATTTCCATGACCTTCCCCAGCTTAGATAATAAAATTAGGGGTTTGAGTCTACCCTATGCTGTGCAGTGGCATTAACACCCATGACTGGGGAATAGGGATTTGGTGGGGAGCCAATGCAGGCCAGTGATGCTGTGCCTCTCAAGCCAATGGAGCAATTAAATGAGAGAGGTTTGTCCCTGGGCATAAAACTGCTGGTGCCAACATCAAATGTTTGATTAAACTGGCCTGGGTATATTAAAGATCAAATCTGTGCTCCATTGCAAACCCGAGTCTAGTCTATCAGATGCAGGCTCACAGGGGTTTTCTTCTCCTTGATTGCAAAGGGAAACCTCAAAAGCCGTGACTCAGTAAAAGTCCTCAGCATGTGTCTGCACTTTCCTTGTGCGCAGGTACTTACTGTCACTCAACAGTGGGTTTAAGTCCTTTTAGCACAAGTGGGTTTTCAGATCAGGAAAGCGGCAGCTACTGTAAGTTATTTACATCTGTGAACATCAGGCTCCTGTTTGAACAGATAAGTCTTTATTCCCCTGTACGTTTACATAATAAATTGTTTACAGACTTTTTTTTTAATACAATACTGGCATAGCAATGTTTAAATTTCATATTTTTACTGTATAAGGTAGCTTCGTGTACCTCTGTTTGCTTTGTCTTCTTGGGGAGGACATGATAAAGACCTGTGGTAAATATACATCCATGTGACAAGGGGCTGTGCAATAGGGTGGAGTAGAATACTCACAGGAAAAAGAGGAAAGTCAGGACACTACATCAAAGTGGGAACCAAGGAAGTGTCTTCCATTCAAGTAACCACCACCATTTGGTAACTTGGCATAAGTTAGCATTACCCAAAGAACCTTCCTCCTCCACCTTAGTGACCGGAAACCCAGGATAAACAAAGTAGTATCTTGTTACAGATTATTTGAAACGGAGGCCATCTGGGATTCATTTTGACTCAAGAAACCCAAGTACATCCAACTTCAGGAACATGACTAGTGTGGAAAATGAAAAGACTAACTTTGTGTTGGTAAAGTTATAGTCTCCAGAGAGGAATAAAAGATAGCTTTGTATTATCTGGAGTGTTTCTGTAAAGATTTCATTTTAAATACCCCTCTGATAGTTTCTCTGTTCTGCCCGGCAGCCTCTAATTTGCTTAATTTTGTACTTTGGGCAATCCTGTCATTTTTGTCCCTAAACTCTAAGTTAGTGGCTACATGGTCCTGGTAATGTTACAGCCAGAGAAAGTTAAAGACTCCTGAAAATTTAGACAAACATCATCATGGGAGACTTTACTTTGGCCCAAGGTATCTACAGTGTGCATTTATTCAGCTAAACTCAGATCCCTCTACACTTCTGGGCTGAGGTCTAACCCCAAAGGTCTTCTCCTTCCTCTAAAATTGCTGAAGGCAGACTGTTCCTGACCTGGGGAAAACTGTGTTAGTTCGAATCAAAATGATCAATTACCTGCCAGGAGAGCAGGGGAAAAAAGTATTATAAACAAAACTAAAATTTCATCTTGAGAAAAACAGGTTCTTCTTGAGTTTGTTCCCCTATAATTATTAGCAATCCAACTTCTATAATTCTGATTGAAGAAGAGCCAAGTCCAGTATCAAATGACACCGGACACAGCAACAACTTCTTTCAGAGATTATTTTAAAATCTGCCTCTTTCCATTTCCTAAACTACCAAAAATAGATGAAATTATGGAAGTTCCCTTATTCAGAATAGTAAGGAAATTAAGACTGATTGTTGTCACTTTCCATTATAAGGTCCTCTCTGGGAATTTTCTGTGGATTATTCCTTTTACTGTCTTTAATAGTAACCATGCTTCATGGTGGGGGGGCGGTGATTTCCCTTTTTGGAAACAGCGAAATGGGACTCAGAACCAGGAGTCATGGGAAAAGATCAAGAAAGAGAACATAATTCCAGGTACTGAAAGCAATACTAATTAGATACTAATTCAACGGATCTTCTTACACCTTATTACTGTCCTTGATGGTATTTCTAAGGAGGGGGGTAGTTTCAGAATTAACTTAAGTGAAGGCAGCATCACTAGAGTAAGTACTAGCTCCCCAAGTAAAACCAGATGCCTTTGAAGGGAACAACACTCAATGAGCGGCCAAAATTCTGATATGTCTACTAAAGAACTCATTATGATCGTAGTTAGAAGTGTCCATTTAAACCTTATCTCCTCTGAGGCCTATGTTTTTAAAAATACTGGGACTTAAATTTGGTGATCTAGTTATTTGAATGCTGTAAGGGAAAAAAAAATTGTGATGTGTTCTGGTATAGTTACTACTCTTGCACAGTTGGATTAAAGCAAATCAGAAACATATGCTTATAGTATCTGCCCATTTTTAAGTGCCAGATCACTGATTATATATTTTAAAAGAATTGAAGTCTTCTGATACTGTTTTGTTAGAATAGGTAGGGCCATTTAAAAAAGAAAAAACGGTATCTAGATATTTGAAAGAAAAATCTATGTCCAAAACTGTCCAATAATGTAGGCTTCTCTTCAGATAACCAAGGAAGAGCCACCCAAGTTAGTAAAGGCCCATTACAATTCTCTAAAATGTAAATACTGTTCCAGTAACAGAAGATAGCCGAAGAACATCAGGATTATACAGATCCTTCATAGTCCTTCCAAAGCACAATAATATGTACGTAGAACTCTAGAATTCCATAAGCTTAAAGACCATTTAGTCTGAACTCATCATTGTTATACATAAGGAACAACTGCTCTTAGAAGTGAAGCGCCTGCGGACGGCTACTTGGCCGGTGACTGGCAAAGTTCAGGGAGAGACCCCAGGTGGCCTGTCCTGCCCAGGCGTCTTGTCCCACGGCCCGGCCTCAGGCCCCATGCCTGTGAGATAAAGTGGATGGACTAGAGACTGGTCTCTCTGATCCCGCCTGTGGTTCAGTCTTGAGTTTCCTATGTCTACCAATTATCAGACACTGTAGTGTGTCTAGTGTCATATCAAATGAACCCTTTAAGCTCAGGGATGAAGCTATAAACTAAGGGAGGTCCCATTTACCGAGTCACTCACATGGATTCCTTAACAGAAAGAGAGTTCTCCCCTTTGAGGTCCTATTCCTAAAGAGTAAACCCAAGATGATTTCATGTCATTATCTCTCTCAGACTTCCTCCAACCAGTCTCTGGCTTCTAGTCTGTTCATTTTCATTAACAGCCTCCATTAAGCTTTATTGAGCCAGATGACTAGAGAATATATCTCAATGTGATTATGGGTAATACATGAAAGGAACAATTTAGAGATACCGAATTTCTAAACTGTACTCTTCACTTCTTCAATTATATTGAGAAACTAGATGTTTCGTTATATTTCTAACATGCATATGTATGAAAAAAAACCAAATTGGAAAACATAGGCATAAAACATTGTTCTTATTTAAAAATAAACATTTCCTTCATTAGTTTATACATTCTTTCTATGTCCAGGAAAAAGAACACAGTTTTGATCTTCAGTAATATTCCCGTCCATAAAGGGGCAAACCGAGTCCCATTTTCACTGCTATCCAATCATGGAGAGCTCTTCAAGGACATCTTTTTTTATCTTCAGCAGGAAGGTTGTGCCTCCCTCAATTTTGGAAATGATCCATTATCCCAATAGAGGGCTTTACTTAGCTCAGCTAGTTTCAGCTGCCACAGGAAGTATTTAAAGTCAGAAGGAAGACTGAAAGATTCAGACTTTTCCTCCGCTGCCTTTCAAAGGCTGCTCTCACATTTCTGGGGTCAAAGCTTGACCTCCAAAGTGCAGTGTTTTGCAGGCTGTTGTTGCTGCTCAACTTTCTTTTTTTTTCCCCCTTAAAGTGCAAACGTGAGGAAGAAGAAACAAAAGTACTAGACAGAGAAACAAGCAAACGAGCTTGGAATTTTATTTGTACAAATCTGATCAATTAAGAGTTTCCCCTTCTGATTGTGGAAAATGGCACTCAAGGAAGAGAACCAAAATGGGTTTCTCTGTGCCCACCGCTTTTCAAAAGGGCAATTTTATAAAATTGCTTTCTATGTAAGGAAAAAAAAATACACTTCAACAAGTAAGGACATATACAGAGGGTGACCATGAGGCATGTTGTCATGTCAGTGCAGGGTCCTTTATTTATTTTATGAACAATATTCTAAGGTTAGTGAGGAACTACGCTTTGTTTTTTTAATCTAGGAAGCCAAGGAAAACCAACTGAGCATATTTCATTGGCTGCATCCTTCAATTCAAACATCAGAGAGAAAGAAAGGTAAGTAGCCAGAGTCAAATTGTGCCTAGCTTGTCAGCACACTTATTTCTGATTATCTGAAAATAAACAACATGCTTATTCTACAAAGACAGAGGACCTGCTGAAAGCGTATAGCAACACACAAGTCTACTCAAAATGATTCCATATGTTACACTGTAGGATTGCTGTGTAGTTAATACAAGGGAAAGAGATCAAAACCCTGTACAGACACCTGATATCAGACTTGAAACGCCAAGTGGAAACAGAACTATTCAGCGTCTTCATTTATACACAATTTACAATATTTGATTCAAAATAAAAATCACAAGAAAAATACATCTGTTTCTGCTACAATTCCTTCCCCTCCCCCATCCACCCCCCAGTGAAAAGTCTTCTAATAAAAGGTATCATATTACCACCATTGTCTTGTTTTGGTCTAATTCTGAGATCCCGGCTCGGGACAGTTAACATGAAAAGGAATGGCAATACTTGGGTTTTATATAATGTACACATTTTATCCAAGGATCTCAAGTACTTGCAGTCACGTCTCCAGATCTGAGAAATCACGGTTCAATGGGAGCCAGAATGCTGGATGAATGCTGGGCAGGTTGCATGGGGTGTAAAATCCCTTGGCTAAGTCTATGAATCAAACAAGGTCAAAGCTGGTTGGCTAGAGCTGGGCTCAATTTCTCTTTTCAAACATATCCCATCCGTCAGTCAGTTTTACCCTCTCTTAAGTCACACACCCATCTCTAGGCTACAGCCTAGAGTTAAGACCAACTGAAGAAGCCATGTCCTCATGATAATGCAGCAGCATAAAAAGCAAAAACAGAGAAACACATTCATCAGCATCTGGCCAAAGGAGACAGGGGCTGGGAGGATTGGTTTGGGAGGCCATTCCTAGCAAGAATGAGACAAAGGTGTCAATTCACTAGTTTCAGTTACAATTAAGCTTTGGGTGGAGTTGATTCCAGCAGAGGTGAAGCTCATGGCATCTAGCGCTTGATTTAAGATAATGCTATTGAAGAAGGGTAATGAGAAAACACAGCAAACTAACAGGGAGGAACTGGCCAAGGAATATCTGGAGGGCCAAAGTGATTTTCTTTCCTTATCATTTCTACAGGAGAAGGCAAGGGATAGGAGATAAGGGCTAGAGGGCCCCTTATTAGCAGATTTTTTAAAAAATCATTTCTCTTATAACTCCGTAATGAAAACGTATATTACGGTGTGAAGGTTACAGAACTGCATCTGCTACTGGGTCACGGCTACAGGTCTATGAGCTGATCCACCAGCAGTAAAGACCTGGCTAGGTTGGGAAGACTGGACTCAGAGCTCCCACTGCTGTTTCTAGAGTGCCCACCTGGAAGTGGAGAGATAGGAATTCAGTACAAAACACAGAGGGTTAAGGTTTAGATGTGCAGAGCAAGCAAAGGAGAAAAAAACAAAAACCAAACCAAACCCTAGAGAAGCAACAATTTACATTTGCAAACTCTTACATGTTGATTTTTAAACATACAAGTTAGGTATCCACCACCTCCCACCAAAACTTCAGGCACACCATACTAGAGGCAGAACACCTTGCAAAGAGGATGCTATTTTCAAATGAGTATATGTTTTGCCTGGGAACCGCTGGCTGGACCCTAACTTCCTCATCACATCGAATCATCTCTCCCTGACAAAGTAAAAACCAATAGTTTTTGCTCTGGGAAGAAATTAGTTTCTAAGACCACTGCAATAGAAACATGCTTTAAGAAGTATATAGACGGTCCCATGGCAATTCGGTGTCTCATGGCACATTCAAATGATTTTAATCAATCAAAGAGGAAAAAGGATGCTTCACAAATGTCCAAAAGATGCAAACGGTATCAAAGCACCATACTTAATCTCTTGGGGAAGAATATTTATTACAGATGATTCTGATCATGCTAAAAAACGTTCAGAGCTTTTTAAAAAATATATGCCTTGCGGTTTCCACGAAGTTTCCACTTTATTTTTGGCTTGATACTTTGTAAAAACCAGGTTTAGTCAAAGTATTAAATACTTTTCCTCCCTCTAAATAAACATCACAGTCAAGCTTTAAGATAACTGTATCTCCATCTGTATACAGGTGTATCCCTATCTTATCCTGGGCCAGCCCCAAGGACTGTCATTATCCCCAGTTTCCTTCATCAAGGGTGGATGCTTTTTCCCGTCTCGGGGATCAGGCGCACCACTACTTTGTGCTGAGCTGTGATGTCAAGCTCTCCTCTTTTCCCCACCCTCTCTTTCTTACCTTGTGGGTTTTTGGTTATCAATACAGGAATAGGGTCAAATTCATCTTCTGCCACCTTGTCCGAGCCCTCAGGGACATCAAAACCTGAGATGAGATTACTATCTTCTGCAGCTTAATACAGAACGCAAGTACACAAGCAGAAACAACAGAGGGAGAGATTAGCAAATGAGAGAACATGTAAGAGGCACAAAGTTCCCAACTATACAATCACTGTTGTTTTTGAAGGTGAAAATGCTTATTTCCATGACTTGAAATAAAAGTAGCAAAACTGGAAAATAGGGAAGACAGAAAGAAAAAAAAAAACGGTTTCGAGCTGGCCCTGTTAAGAGTTTCATAAATGATTAGGGAGAAGGGTCAGAGGATGAATTCTCTCTGCCATTTGAAGACCATTAATTGTAGTTATTGTGAGGTTATCTCTTCAGCGTCAGTAATTCACAAAGGCACAGGAATTAGTCATTTATCTTCCTTATTGAGCAAACAGAAGCCTAACAAACAATACTCAAGACACTCAAAGCCAGGGTCAGGGGGGAGGTAATTAGAAGCTCTTTAAGAAGCAACTGCTATATACACTATATGTTAATTAACTGAATTTAAATTAAAAAAAAAAAAGGCAGCTGCTGCTTTTGTGTACAAGGCAAACAAAATACTTCTGAAAGGACCTGCTGTCCTGTGATTGGGAAAAAAGACTTTCCATCAACTCTGATGCCTCAGGGAATGTTGGGGCCCAAGATCACATGCCCTGAGATTTCAAGCAGAAGTTTGTTAGAATAGTGTCCTCCATTCTGATTAAGATTACCCTACGGGCAAGTGCTAGCTGAGCACCTATTTTGCAAGTGATGCTTCTCTGTAATTACATATTGTTGCTGACACACTCCTGCCAGACGTAATTGGTTAAACACACACTCCATAAAAACATAATTATTTTAATGCCATCAAGGGTAAAAACAATAACTCAGCTATTACCACCGCAAACCATAAACTAATTATTTTTAGACATCTTGGGGAGGCTTCCTTCTTGAATTTCTTTCAGAATAAACTTATACTGTTCGTTTTCTATATATTTGCTCCTTCCAGAAAACCAATGTCACCACCCCAGTACAGAAAGAAGTTTAGTGAATGCCTGCATCCAGTAAGCCAAGCACTGTGCCGGTCACTTTCACAAACAGCTCACTGAAGAGAACTCAGTTAATTCAAGCTACTTCTGTCCAAGCAGCATTTCAAACAGGTATTAACCCAGGACTAAGAAATGAAAGTGGTAGATGAGAAAGAGAAATCCACTAAGCAATCATGACTCTAAACTTAGAATTCTAAGTTCAATCTCTGAAGACTGACTTTTGAGGACTTATGCCTGCTTTTTTATTGTAGCCATCACTACCCAAAAACTTTAAATCAGATTTGATGCAACAATTTTAAGGTCAAAGGCCAACAGTATCATATTAATAACAGTCGGTCAGTAGATAGTCAACTTGAGGGGACTGCAAAGGTATAGAGCTCCGCCTTGAATGGGGAACGCGGAACATCTGCAGTCCTCATGACTGCCGGGAAGCGGTGGCTCCACCAATCTGTTGTCTAAGCCTTTATCAGGCACTCTTGCTGAGAGGGATTAGAACACAGTGGATTAGAGTACCAACTCGAGTTTTCCATATGAAGGAGGGGGCGAAAACACTTCACTGGCAAAGACTTTCCCTAAGGAAAATTCTCAGGGGTCATTCAGTTCTCCTTGAAGGACACATGGGAGCCAAGGACAGGAAAGCATTTACCTTTATGGGCTGGAGCAGAGATCGCTATGGGGGCAAACTCTTCCAGAAGGTCAGTAGTAGGGTTAGAAAGCAGGGAGCAATCAATCAGGGAATCTTCCCCGGTGAGAGAATCTGAGTCCAGATTGACAGCATCCCAGGTCGGTGATGGCATTAAATGGCACACACAATATCATGAGATTAGAGCTTAGCCTTGAAGTTACTGCATTTACATGTCATATGTACAAGCCAAGGCGGGAGAAAGAAAACCACAAGTAGTATCTTAAGCCCCCCGGCATTTTCATCAATAGAAACATGTATTTCTAGATTCCTCTTAACATGAACATATAAATATGGAATAATTCTTTGCTCAAAGGGTGCTGGGTCAGCAAATCTGTGATCTGGATGCCAATAAAACTTTAGCAACTCAGTTCTCAGCAAATGCCACTTGGGAAAAAGGACTCTGCCACTAAAGTTTCATTTAAACTTTCCCTAAACATTTGGGGGGAAAGGTACAATAGGATAAGGTATCTAAGTTGACCAGGAGGGGGTTGTCCCTGGCTTATTATTAACAGAATATGACACGATTAAACAGGATTTTCTAGAACTCAACCGGATCCCCATTCAAAATAAAATGATCTTGCTACTAACTAGTCTTCTTTAAATTTGAATTGCTCCTCTGAATATATGATTTTACTTTTAGGTAAGGAACAGAAGGAAGACAAAATGCAGAGTTCAAGCATTTTAACATACAAATTGTTCTCTGGGAAAGTTTTAGAAAAGTCAAGTAAGCACAAGGGAAAGGAACCATCTCGCCTTCTATGTTCATTTTTTCCCCCAACTCCTTGAGTTTATTTTCGTAGTTCCCAGACTTCTAATTGTTTTCTGTTCCAAGGTAGGAAATCAGACACTTTTACCAAGGTAACTATGGACTCAATAAAAATGCAGGTTATCAGCGCTGGATTTATGGACAGTTAAGGAATTCTATTAACAGTGAAGTTTGAAATTAGGGTAAAAACAATGCTGGACCAGGGCAGATTTCAACTCTGCTTACAATTTAACAGCAAATCACCTATATATGCTAAAAGCACTGTGCTGGGAATAGAATGTCAACATCCAGAGCGTGAGCTCCACGAAGTTACTGACACCACTGGGTGGAAAGACGGCTCAGAAACCTTGGAGGAGTTAAGGTCATCCTTGCAGCTCAGCAGAGTTCTTTAGGGAAGGAGGTGGAGGGAACCTGCCACCAGTGAAAAGAATCTTGAATAACGAAATACCATAACCAGAGAAATTCCAAGTACCACTCTACAGAGAACATGGCTCCAAAAAGTACTCTGCTCTTCAGCATGGAATGGTATCACTAAACATCTAGAAGCTGGGGCTGTACCCATACGAAGCATCCATTCTAGGGGCAACTGACCAGGCTGCAAAAGAAGCCCAGGGTCACCTCCTGCAGGTGGAAAGGTTGACTGTGAGGTCCACCACAATGAACGGTCCCCGCAGCTACAGAGACCTGACTGACCTGTGCGGTTCGAGGTCACAGATTCCGTCTGAGATGGAAGGCGCTGGGGCACTGGGGGCTCCAGTCCTGGTATGAGACTCTCAACAGCAACATCAGCTTTTTCTTTTGTAACAGAGCATTAAGAAAGGAGAACACAGGGTAAGGGAAAAGGAGTCAAAAGGTTCTTTAGACAATTCCGTGAAGGCTTTCTTCTACAGGGCTCTAAAATGCTAGTCTCGGGCAAGATGGGCAGCACAAGAAGTTACTTTATTTCTGCTGCTTTGAGTGCCTGGGCTTCACTGACTGAGCATGCACGTGCAAGGTTAACCGCTATGACGTGTCTTGGTGAGTCTCAGTTTTTCTAGATAAATGTAGAACACGAGCCACCCAGCAGATTTCTTCCATGTCAGAAGACATAGGCTGAAAGGCACTCTAATATCTTACGGTGATTTTGCTTTTCTTAAGGGATAAACCTGGGGGCACACATCCTCTGTGCCTCGCAAAGGCCACTAGTCCATTTCAAATCCCACCCCCTGATGTAGCTGGGAGGTCTTCTGCACTGTCTCACATGCTGCAGCTGAAGACCCATCTCTCTCGAGGCTCATGGCCTTCCTGAGTTCGTGGACTATGTGCCCTGGAGTTACAGAGGCCCTGGACATCTTGTACGTCTTGCCCGCCTTGCTGTAGGAGCACAGGGCAATATCAGACTGAGCAGACCAAGCCCCTACCTGGATTCTACTCATGGGGCTTCACCACTGGGCAAGTGTTTCCTGTTATGGATACCGGGCACAAACAGGGGCCTTCTAAAGAAGAATCTGCTCAAGGTAAGGTCCCGGCTTGAAACCAACTTCCTTCATGAAGATTTTGTAACGAACAGTGAATTTTTCCGTTCCTCCTCATTCATAAAAAGTCCCTCTAGAAATCTCAGGCTATCAAGCCAAGCAAAAATAACAGTGTGGTGCCCCTGGAAGGCAGAGAAAACACTTCCTTTGGGGTGATAGTAAATAAGATTAAAGGAGGCTTTGTGGCATTTTCCACTCCTCAGCAGGGCTATTCGCTAGGGATCTGTTAACCGGTTAGTTATCATTCTTGAAACAGACACATATATCATGCAGGACTGAAGAAACAGAGATGACGACTTTACCAATTATAGCATCGGACGTGCTACCAAAAGGGTCTGTCATAGGCAAGAGGTCAGGGAGCAGGAGAGAAGTGTCAGGAGATTTGAGTCCCTCAATTAGTTTTTCTAGGTTGGGCAGAGAGGTAAAGAGAAAGCAAAAATGCAGTGAGATATTAAAACAAGTTGATCATTTACCATTTTCTATGCAACCACATTTTGGGGTCAAACTTTTGTATTGATTCATCATAAAAACAAATACTATTTGTATCTTTTACCGTTAATTAAAAATAAGCTCTCAAAGTTCAAAATTTAAAAGTGATTATTTCTCTGGTTGAAGCAGTCACTTTGTAAGTCATTCAAGGTACTGCCTTAAGTTTGTTTTAAAATTTGAGGTATAAATATTTAACCAAAAAAAAAAAAAAACTGATTTGAAGGGATACATGCACCCTGATGTTTATAGCAGCATTATCAACAGCCAAATTATGGAAAGAGCCCAAATGACCATCAACTGATGAATGGATAAAGAAGATGTGGTCTGTACATATGTACACAATGGAATATTACTCAGCCATCAAAAAGAATGAAATCTTACTATTTGCAACAACATGGATGGATGTAGAGGGTATTAGGCTAAGTGAAATAAATCAGTCAGAGAAAGACAAACACCCTATGATTTCACTCATGTGGAATTTAAGAAACAAAACAGATGAATATGGGGGGGGAAGAGAGAGAGGCAAACCATAAAACGGACTCTTAACTATAGAGAACTGAGGGTTGCTGGAGGGGAAGAGGTGGGTAGAGGGATGGGCTAAATGGGTGCTGGGCATTAAGGAGGACACCTGTCATGATGAGCCCTAGGTATTGTACGTAAGTGATGAATCCCTAAATTCTACACCTGAAACTAATATTAGACTGTCTGTTAACTAACTGGAATGTAAATAAAAACCTGAAAAAAAAATTTGAGGTACAATGTATACTGAATAAAAGTCACCAATTTCAAGTGTACAATTTGCTGAGTTTTGACAAATGTGCACATTCATGTAAGCACCACTGAAATGATGTAGAACGTTTCCATTACCACCAAAATTACCCTTGTGCCTTATTCTAGTCGGTGCCTTCCTGTTACCCCCAGACCCAGGCAACAACTGATCTGCTTTCTGTCCCTACAGCTTTGCCTTTTCTAGAATTTCCTAGAAATGGAACCATACAGTATGTAGTCTGTTCTGTCTGATGTCTTTCATTGAGCATAAGGCTTCTAGGACCCCTCCCTGTCGTGGCATGTTATCAGTAGTTTGTTCTGTTTTATTGCTGTGTGGTGTTCCACGGTATGAATGTACCACATTTTGTTGAATCATTCACCAGTTGATAGACATTTGGTTGTTTCTAGTTTTTAGCTATTAAAATAAAGCTGCCATAAACATAGGCATTTAAGTCTTTATGCATTCATACCCCTTCCTGGGCTTAGTTTTGAAAAAAATTTTTGGACTTGCATTTAGAAATGCTGTGTAACTCAGCAAGTGAATCAAAATATGCCTACGTTAACTTCAACCATCATTTATTGTCTGCCAACTGAGAGCCTGTGACAAGCTGGTACCCTTATCATTCTGTGGTCAAATCTCATGAAATGCACTTATACCTGAAGATGGATTACTTTTGATGCCTTTTGGCTAGGAAACAAAAGCATATAAGAAGCCACCAGATTTGTCACACCTGATAACTTAATGTGTGGTAAGTGCACACATTAAGATTTCTTCATGATTTTTTCAGCCTTGATCCATCAACAACTCTCTATTTATCTTCAATTTATGAAAGGTAGAGAGCATTACTTGAAACAAAATCCTGAATCATAGAATCTTACAGAAAGAAGGGAATGAAGAGCTCAACCTCCTTTTACTTACAAGGAGGTTGAAGCCGCATAAATTCTGTAACTTGCCCAGTTAAAGCCTGTCGACATTTTTTTTTCTGTCACAGAAATACATGCCATTAAGATAAAACTAAAATGCAAGTGTTTGAGAAAAAGAAGTGACTTAAAGTTCAAGTCTGTGTATAGAACATTTTAATGAATCTGCATTCTAGGCCATCAGGAATCAAGATAAGTAAAGATGAAATTGGTATTTGTTGAAGAACTGAAACCAAATTTTAGGTGACGTGTAATTTAAAGTGATCTATAACTACACATATGAAACAAAATAATGGATTTTAGTGTCTTGGCAAGATAATTTGCTTTGGTACAAGTAACACACTGCAGAAAAAGATTTTTACACGTGAAATCAATTTACCATCTTTGCAGTATATGGCATGTAGATATCCTGGAGTTAAATGACCATCTGCTAACTTTTTCTCATTTACACTTGATACTTACATTGAAGAAAGGAAGAAAGAAGAAAAGAAGCTTCTCAACAGCAGGGAGAAAAAAGCCCAGAGTACTAACCAAATATACAAGTGTAATCACATCAGAATTAATCTTGTATCGTGCATAACATTTTATTAGCAGAAAAGATGCTAAAAATATGTGACAATTTTTAGCATACCGGCAAAAATAAGAGGGCTTTCTCGAAAAGTCTAATTTTTCATTATGCTGAACACTAGCTTTTGTTTTATTCCCAAAAAGAGCTTCTTTCACGTACAGGAAAGTAATTATTTGTTTCTTCCACTTTTAGCACTCATACATTTGCAATCTTACGAAGCAATGGATAAATAGTAATGACCCATTACTTGCTTATCTTTCTTTTTTTTTTTTTTAAAGATTTTATTTATTTATTTGAGAGAGAGAGAATGAGAAATAGAGAGCACGAGAGAGAAAAGGATCAGAGGGAGAAGCAGACTCCCTGCTGAGTAGGGAGCCCGATGTGGGACTCGATCCTGGGACTCCAGGATCATGACCTGAGCCGAAGGCAGTCGCTTAACCAACTGAGCCACCCAGGCGCCCACTGGCTTATCTTTCATACCATAGTTTATCTTGGTGCAAAACCTTAAGCTAGCCAAATGCCCAGTCCGAATTCTAGCCTCTCCAGTGACCGGTTGCAACCATGGGGTCAGTCCTTAAACTTCTGCCTTCACCTCCTCAACTGTACAGAGGAGATACCTCCCACCACCTTTTTGCAGAGGTCACTCAAGTATCATCTCCTCTACTCCTTTCCCCATCCTCCCTGCCACATTGGGAACCTCCTGGAGCACTCTGCACTCACTTCCCTTGCAGCCTTTACAACAGGACAAGGTATCTTCTTAATCTCGGTATCCCCAGTTCTCGGTTTCCTCTCATACCATATGTCACATCTCTGCTTCATTGGGGAGGTGGGGAGGAAGAGGAGATCAACTGGGAAGTCAGGTAACTTTAGCAAGAATCTAATATTTTTATTAGCCATTAGCAAAAAAGATAATGTGAGGGGTACAAAAAATACGTGTGTGCATGCGAGTGTTGTGTGGTGAGACAGGACAGGGTGGGGATGGGGTAAGTCGCCAAATTTAGGGGGCTTATCTTCTGACCGAACCTCAAGTAACAGGCTATTCACACAGATAATCTGTGTGGTCACTGCTGCTTGAGAATCGTCGGCTCCTGAAATGTGGGAGGGAGGAGCAGGGACAGGGCAGGAGCAGACAGAACTAGCAGTGAGAGCACAGAGCCAGGGCATAAGGAAGGCGGACGGCGTGGGCAACACCACCCTGCCACTCCCAGCATTCTCGAGATGACAGAAACTCTCAGCGACTCAGTGCGGGTGCCCAGGTGCCGCTGTAACTACAGTCATCACTGCCACTTGCAGAGTTTAATGTCAAACATTTGCCTTCATTATTCACAAAAAGACCTGGGTTTGGGAATACTGATAAGAGTTGAGAAGAATGGAGACAGAGACTGTGTGACTTGCCCAAAGTCACAGAGGGGACATGGTAGAGCATGGACTTGACTTCAGTTTCCCCCACATGCTGCCTATAGGGTCTGCCCATGTCCATCAACATAGGAGAACAGGTTTTCACACAGACATGGCCCCAGGCACAAAGGCCAAATTAGCAAAGGCATGCTGGCCCTGGAAGGAACCTCAGATCTTACTCAGCTAGCCTTCTCACTTACAGATGAAGAAACCAGCTCCAGAAAGGTAAAGTCACCTGCCTGAGAGCTTACAGCAGGTAAGCCACAGAGCTAACTAGGACTATGACCCAGACCATCTACACCCCAGAGATTCAGTCTTCTGGTTGAACTAAGGCTTTGGTTGCTTTAAAAAGTAAAGGCTCTTAGAAGCAGTCACATCTAAAGCTATTATTGCTCATTTTTGATCACTATAAATGAAGAACCTGAGAACAGGATGTAATGGGAGGCACAAGGGTGGCCTGCAGGCCTCACATGTGCATCAAGGGCTGGCCTTGATATCACCCGTGTTAGGAATTCTATCTGCCCTCTTATAGTTATGTAAAGACACTCTGAGACCATGTGTCATGAAGGGGGTGGGCGGGGAACAGCGGCGCAGAGAAGAGGATGGTGAATTTAGGAACATGTGCACAAAGTGTTCTTTAAGATCCCAAACCTCAACCAAGTTCTCCCTGGGCATTTCACGATTTGTTGATATCTAATGAAGCCACAGATCCCTGAGATTACAGTAGTGAGAATGTGCGGAGTTCCAGGTTTTACCCACATGCCTTGGTATGAGATCAGAAAAAGCAGAATTCCTTGAATAAAGTGAAATGTGAGAGGAGGCAGCGTGGTCTAACAGAAAGAAATCACTAGTCGGACGCCCAACTGACTGAGCCACCCTGGCGCGTCTTCAAATAATTTTTTAGAAAAGGAAAGAGAACATAAACTAGCAGGATCCGAGTGTGTCTGCCTCCTTAGACATTCGTCAAGCATGAGGTGGCGGGGTTTTCCCTCTTTCCAAGCTGATGGCAGAGGTTGCAGCATCTCATTGTTTGATAAAGGGCTCTTCTTGAATTCATCATCATGATGGACTTTTACAAAATATATATTTAATGGCAATTTATATCTCTTCTTTTAGAATCGTCTGCTCCTATTTTCCTCTTTGTGGTATTTTCTTAGCATATCCCCGTTACCATACTCAGTTCTTTCTCAAGTCTCTAGGGTTCCCAAATAAAAATGAGTCTGGTTAAGAGCACGGAAAAGTGCTGAAATCACGGTGAGA